TGTAGTTGTTTGGGAAACCTCCATACTGTTTTCCATAGTGGTTGTACTAATTTACAGTCCCACCAACAGTGCAGTAGCGTTTCCATCTCTCTCCACCCTCACCAGAGTTTATTATTCACTATCTTTTTGATTATAGCCAGTGCGAAAGTTGTTTAGAATGTGGACATAAATAAAAAGCTTCCTCAGGAAGAAAAGAGAAGTTGCAAGAAGATCAGGGGCAGATAAAATCGATAAAAGAATGAAAGCAATGAGAGGAGACAGAGAGAGAGAGAGAGAGAAGCCTAGACCTTGAGGATAGTCTCTTCTTAGCATATTTCTGCATCTGTTCTTTGATAAACTATATCAGGCTGAAACTCACTGAGCTAAATTAGAGGGTGGCTTTCAAAGTCATCTTAGAAATAGGACTACCATCATGTTGGACTCTACGTCATTAGATGTGTATGATGGTGAAGTGCCTTGTATTTCGGAGGAATATAATTTCCAAGAATCATCAGATAATTCCAATTATGAGTTCATTTCATGACAATGTCTCATCAGTAGTTGTAATGGATGCTGCACAGTATATACATAAATTGTGAATCTTTTAAAATGTTCCCTGTCTCCTTTAATACTCTGCTTAGGATCAAATTGCAGACAGCAGCAGAAGATTAATAGGAATCTAAAATAAAATCTCCATGCAGCAGACACAAGCACATGTGAAACAAGACAAAAAAAGATAGATGGGTGACTTGAAGTTTGACAGCTTATTGGAAAATTCTCAGTGAAAATTAAAGGTTTAAAAAATAAAACAATTTAGTCCCCATAGTAGGACAGAGGAATGTGTTAAACACATATTTCACATGTAAGGAAATAAAATCAGAACACCTGTCTCTGCTGAAGAAGGCAATGGTAAAGAATAGTGAAAAAATAGTTCAGCGAAAACAACCTCACAGCCTTTCCATGTCTTATGCACAGGCAAATGTGATTATCTACCTGGAAAACAACCGCCAGCATCATGCTTAATGTGAAACACTAGAGTTACTATAGACAGAACAATGCACTTATACTCAGCATTTCTATAATGCATGTTCTTTTCAATTGATAACATTATCTCCCTGAAAACTCAAAATAATCAACTGGATAACCATTATAGCTAATAACAGAATTTAGAAAGTTGGTACAAACTAAGCATGAAAAAATTTGTGTTTTTCCTAAGCTTCAGCAATACCTATTAAGATAATATAGAGAAAAACGATTCTTTTCACAATTGCAACTAAAAATGAAAACAACACAATAATAAACCTAATGAAATGTATGAGATCTATAGTTTAAAAAACACCAATTTTAATAAAAGGTATAAAAATACATATGAATGAATTAATATATATTCCTTGTTCATAATATAAAGATATTAGGATGATGATTCTCCCTAAATTGATTTTTAAGTTTTAAACAAAATTGTGTGATGGTGTTATTAGTTTTTTTCATGGGGGGGAAAACATGATGAAATGTTTTTAAGGTTCATTTGAGCTAATAAATCGGTTTTTTTAGTCAATAAACTACTGCTTAAAACATAAAAATAATTGGATTTAAAAAGTATTAGAGCTGCTTAGGGTGGTACCGAGCATAGAAAGAGAGAGATAAGTCAGTGGAATAGAATAAAACCCAGAAACACATTCTAGTATTAATTATATCTCAAAGATATTATCTCAAGTCATTGAGCAAAGGATATGTTGTATAGCAAATGGTGCTAAAATGGTTAAGTAATGATTTGAGGGGAAAAAAGAACACAGATTATAGTCTCATGTTATTTTCTAAAGTGAATTTAAGACGTTTAAGTATAAAATATAAATACTAAAGTAATGATAGGTAAAAATGTAGGTAAATATTTATAAAGACATACAGTACTTTCAAATCATAATGGTAAAAGAAACCATTAAAGGAAAATATTGATTGATTTGAATATAAAATGTGTATAAGAAAATAATCATAAATGTGAAAAATACACAAAAATACTCATCAATATTTATAATTGCAACAATTCGATACAATATGTTTCCATACAATAGAAGTATATGAACTCATAAATGATATGTGTATGTGTAAGTATGTATATATGTGTGTGTATATATATACACATATTTTGAGTTTTCTGTATGTAGAATTTAATTTCAAAAAAACAGCAAACTATGGTTGTTGAAAGAACATACTGAATAGAATGCATTCAGAAGTTCCCCATCTTTCTCTTACACATGCAAACGTATATACATCCACATGCACATACACTGGGTTGAATTTAGTACATATGTGGAATTTTTACTACTGTACTATTCTATATAATATATAAATTATGTATATTTTACAACAGTCTATATGGTGTTTTTAAAAACGGAAACTATCATACATATGTATATATATATATGTGTGTGTGTATATATATATATATACACATATATTTTAAGTTTTCTGTATGTAGAATTTAATTTCAAAAAAACAGCAAACTATGGTTGTTGAAAGAACATACTGAATAGAATGCATTCAGAAGTTCCCCATCTTTCTCTTACACATGCAAACGTATATACATCCACATGCACATACACTGGGTTGAATTTAGTACATATGTGGAATTTTTACTACTGTACTATTCTATATAATAT